TACATTTCAATTTTTGTCTTCCTTTTAATCTTTTATACTATGTATAATTAAAAAATTTCAAAAATAATTCAATAAACATTTCAAATAAAATAGTTTTATTACAGTTACGGATGTGAGCGCTATCTTTAACTTTTATCTTCTAATGCTTAGGATCCAGTAAAAAAATATTAAAATCAATTCATTACTGTAATTTTTTTACTTTAATTGTTATTTGAGTGTAAATCAATTTGAAAATTACTGGTTTCTTCAAATAATAATGAGTAATTTTTTATTTCAAATACAGGTGTTTGAAGCATTTCCGATTTCTACTAAATTTCGCATCGAAACAAACCAGTGAAAATTAATTAAATAATTCAAAGCAATTAGTAATTACTTAACGATATTAAGTTTTTAATGAAGTTTTAAAGAGCTTAGGTTCGTGAATGTGCACTATTAATGAATGCATTAGTGAAAAAATATCTATGAAATAGATGTGAGCGTTTTGAAATAATTAAATGAAGAACAAAATTATAGATGTTTCCCCTCTTTCAATAAGAGTTAAATTTTTTTCTGCAACTAAGAGGTAACTAAAATATAAATGGTTAATTAAGATTTTAATAAGATCATTTCATTTAAAAATTATCAGTTTTTCTCCAAATCATTCCCAAATTAATTCAGAATATTTTAATGAAATATTTTCTCTTTAGCTTAAGTTATATTTATTTACACCTTTTATGCAAACATTTGTAAAGTAATTGTGTTAATGTATTAATACAAGCAAATCGAAATTCGTTCCTAGATTTTGTTAATATTAAATGCTAATCAAGCTATTTGGAAATGGTAGCTATGGTTTTATTTCCTAAAAAAATTACTATTTTATAGACGTATTTCCACCTGAAAAATTTTCAAAATGAGATGTAGAATAATTTGTAAATATTCTTGATAGTGTAAGTAATGAGAATTTTTTAAGAAAAAGGAGATTGTTGGCATTATCAAAGCTCAAAGAAAAGTTTTCCATTAAAATGTTTAACACAAAATTTTAAAAATAAAAATAAATCTGAAAAAAAAAAAAAAAAAAAAAAAAAAAAAAAAAAAAAAAAAAACGTAGAAAATTTCACTTCTGAGATTAAACTAATATCTACTGTTGCCAGTTCGAGAAACAAATTCTAACTATAGAATAAAATTAAAACTCAACTAAAATAGAATTTGAATTTTATAAACTTAGTTTGTTTTTGCCCTTCGTTTTGAGCATAAGTGTAAACAAAAAACTAATGCTAAAATATCAAACTCATATGCAAGTAGATCCAAATCTTCTCAGCTTGATATAGCACTTATCAAAGAAATGGAAAAAAATTTTTAATAGTTTTTTTAATATGATCTCTTTGTATCTCGATAGAATTTTTACATCGTTTAATGAACAACTCTGTACCTTTGAAAAAGTAATCTGAAGAGCTGTCCTCAAAATTTTCCATAATTTCCATTTCACGCCAATACTATTCATTAATTCTGTTTCCATTGAAGTTAGATTTCAGTTTGGAAAACAGAAAATAATCAATTGAAGCAAAATATGGGTTGTGAAGCGGGGGGATGAAACTGTTTAAACCTATTTTGCTGTTTTTGAATTATTGAAGTAATTAAAAGTGATAGTAGTGAGTTTACTGGTGCAAAACCCCAAAGGCCATCTGTGCCGAATACACGTCCGATGCTTTCGCACACAAATGAGACTTCGACAAAATAGACGAATAGACAAGATTATAACCATGGAAATGCATAAAATGCAAAGAACCTAAAAAATGATGAATGCTAAGATGAAGTTTCTTATCATGCAGATAATGAGATCAGATTTTTACAGGGAAGGAACTCAAAGTACCAACCTTGCAGAGACATTTTTCATATGAAGATGTTCGTGTAGAAAGCACAAAACAATTGTTTTAAGTAATCCAACATTGTTGATACTTCCTAAACTTTTGATTTCTTGCCATTCAACACTTTTCCTTTCAATATTAGTCATTTAGTATTCCACAGGAAGAATTTGACAAACATATTTTTAATATCTTGAGGCGGGAATTTTTTGTATCTCCCTATATGCCTGAATAAAATTAAAAACAGAAATAGATAAACAGACAGGTTTGCAACTTATGTGTTCATTTCAAGCAATCGATCATGCTTACTGGAGATACTCATACGTGTAGGACGTAGTTCTGTGAGCTCTTCGACTTATCTGATTTTTCGCATACTTTGATAGTGATTCCTTCGGGTTTCACAAGCTATCATGTCCCTATTCAGAACACCCAACGATGATGATGACTACAGTGATTACGCAGATTCTTAACAATCAGCAATTTTATTACCAACTATTTAATGACGAGATGAATTTTTGAAAGACCCCCGGATCCAGAAGAAAGTCAAAGGCAAGAAGTCTAAAGCAATGTGTGAGAACGAAAGCCAACAGACTCCCCGCACGATAGAAAAATATGTCGAAGATTCCCGAGACGCTGAAATACGTAAACATATTTAAATTCAAGACACTGTGATGACACACCTTGCTAACGCAAAAAGAATGGCTACGGTAAATACACCGAAGGAGAAAGAAAAAGTTATTGATCAATTCCCCATATAGGAACCATAAACCCATAAAGAAACAACGAACTAACCAAGTTGCCTATAATCCCAGAACTGAAGGATCTCACCGAAGAAAACTCCAAAAATCGTAGAAAATACCAAACCGATGGAAATTCCTCATGATAACCGATTCCTGGCACTTTGAAATTTTCCGAAGAAAATCCAGAAGGAGGAGCTAACTCAGAAGTACCCCCCCCATTATGTTTTCGCACGAAGAAAATTATGATGATACTTAATCAACTGTTCAAGAAAAAATGTACCGAGCCTTGCGAAAGCCAGATGAAAATTAAATCTATTTTTGTCTATACTAAAAATCTGAATGATTACAGCAAAATGAATCAACTCTTACTAGCAAAGAATATCCCATTTCATTCATATCAATTAGAATGTGAAAAGCCGATAAGTGTAATACTGAAGAACCTCCTCGCCTCTGTGAAGGAAGAAGCCATATATCAGGACTTAGAACGTAGGAAATACCCGAATGCTGTGCAATTCACCAGAAATCATAAAGGAGAAATAACATGACTTCCAATATTCCTGCTGGAGTTAAAGAAAAATTCCGAAGGAAACCTGATTCACCAACTAAATAACAAATTTAGTTTCAACATTGTAAGAGAGAAATTTAATCCGGTACTTTTCGGTTTGGCCGGCGCAAGCGATAAAGTTGCCGAAAATGGTACAACCGATGCCAAACCGAATATCCTCGCAGATAACTTTTCACGCCACTTTTTTAAAACAAGTCGCTGCTATTTCTTATCAGATTGATCGTTCTTTCAATATTGGCATACAGTTACATAATTTTTTTAATTATAATATTGCAAAAATTCTTGCATTTAAACTCGAATTCCATACTAAGATTTAACTTGAAATTAATGTAGATAATTATTGAGAGAATCAGATTTTTGTAGCTTAGTTTACGTGCGATGAGACCATTTGGGATCACGTGATATAAACAGGTGAAGCAAGATGTTGTACCATGAAAGCATAGTAAATTCTTAAAATAACGTCTTTTTACAAATATGTCAAAACTGGATGAAAAATCAATGAAAATTTAAGATTTTCCCAGGACAGAGTAAAAATCTGTCAGATTCTTTCAAGCGAAAGGCGCTTTGCCTAACATTGCTATTTGTGATAATAATCATGAAATGAAATTATATTTCGGAGACGAAATTCAATGGCGCTGACACCTTTCAACTTGCCGCAGTAAAGAAGTATACGGAAAGGCACATGGTTTGAATCATCGTGATTCAGTTTCTTGAAGTGTGTAAGATTTATTTATGGTTGCAGTGAAGAATTAACTTCAGTTAAATGGTATGAAAAGCAGTTGGAAATCAGTCACGGAACAGTTGTAGATTGGAATAACTACATGCGAGAGGTTTGCGTGGAATCTTTACTTAAATGTCAACAACGCAAAATAGGAGGACCTGGTATGATCATTGAAGTGGATGAAAGTACGTTCGCGAAGCGCAAAAACAACGTGGGACGGATTTTACTAAAATAGTGGATCTTATAGTGGATCTTTGGTGGAGTTTGTCGTGAAACAAACGAATGTTTCCTTGTGAAGATACCAAACCGATCTATGACTATTATATTAGAGGCAATAAAGGAAAATATCGAAAAAGGAATTACGATATATTCCGATTCATGGAAATCATATTGCACTGAAAAACTGGAAGAGGAAAGTTTCGAACATTTCAAAGTGAACCATAAATACAATTTTGTAGATTCGGAAACTGGAACGTACATGCAAAAAATAGAGAGACTATGGGCTAGCGCCAAATGGCGGAATAAGAAAAACAGAGGAACGGCACGTCATCATCTGGAAAGTTACCTCGCCGAATTTATGTGACGAAAGGACACAAAAGACCTATTTGAAAACATTTTAAACGATATTAAAATATTTATGCTTCCAAAATAAAAAAAAAAAAAAAAAAAAAAAATCTTAGAACTAACATTTGTTAAAATTTTTTATGTGTATACTGTGTGTTGTCGCCAATAAAGTCTGCTTGGCGAGATTTGCGATGGAGAAACAGAAGTGGCGAGGTTTGCGACGCCGAAACGGAAAAATACCTTTAATCCTAAAAAGAGACCAGTGCAATGCTATTTTCAGCAGTTCGGCCGTTCTCGGTTCTGTTGTAACAATCCCGTGAGATGTGTGAAGTGCGGAAACCACCATCGCAGCAACCAGTGCACCATGAAACCAAAAGATAAACCGAAATGTATTTTTTGCGGCCAAAACCATGTGAGCAGCTATAGAGGGTGCAGTGAATATATAAGAATAAATACGAGAAGAAAATGCACCAACCCCTGCCTAAAGCTCCAGAATTCACAGAAGGAAATATTTCCCAGTACGAAAACTACTCCCTAACCAATTCAGAAGAACCTCCCTCTTGAAGAACATGCAAACATTCAGAGACGAAAATAATATTGTTCGACTCAGAACAAAGCTTCTCTTCGGAAATGAAGAGGAAAATTTCAAGTGCCACATATTGTTGCCCGGAAGCCATGAGATTATTCATCGACTGGTAAAGCAAAAGCATTGTGAACTACAACATGCAGGACTTCGAACTCTGATTGCCAATTTAAGAGAAGATTACTGGATTATTTCGATCAATAGATTAGCGAAACAAGTTAGCTCTAGTTGTATTTCATGTAAAAGATTCAAAGCCAAACCTACAGAACCACCTTTTACACCTCCTCCTAAGAACAGAATAAAGGCTGCTGCAGTTTTTGAAGTTTCAGGGATTGATATCGCAGGCCCTTTGTATTTGCGTTCTGGCGAAAAGACATGGGTTGTACTTTTCACCCGTGCCATTTATAGGGCTGTCCATCTTGAATTAGTCAATTCCCTGTCTACAGAAGTTTTTATTATGGCTTTAAGAAGAATCTTTGCTCGAAGAGGTAGAGTAAATATAATCTACCCTGACAACGGTACAAACTTCATTGGTTCAAGCAATGCTCTAAGAAATTTAGATTGGGAAAAGATCATGTCGTTTTCCACTATCAAGAAAATCAAATGGAATGTTAACCCTCCAACAGCCGCCTGGTGGGGAGGATGGTGGGAGCGTATGGTTAGAATGTTGAAAGAGATGCTACGAAGAATTTTGGGCAGGAAAAGTCTTGACTATGAAGAGTTGGAAACTAGTCTATGTGACTGCGAAGCTACAATAAACTCTAGGCCTCTTACATATATTGAAGACAATTCTGAAGGTCTGAAGCCATTAAATCCCGCTTGTTTCTTACAAAGTATTCCTAGCAGTGAAACAATTGATTTAGACGAAATCGACAGTAAAAGCCTAAATATAAGATTACGTTTTGTACAAAAATTAAGGCAGGATTTAGGAATGAGTATTTAGCAATGTTGATTCAAAGGTAACAGCCGGGAAGAATCTTTAAGAGTTGGAGAGGTCGTTCTTTTAGAAACTGATGACAAGCGTATCAACTGGCCTTTAGGAATCGTCATTGAAGTATTTTCTGGAAAAGATGGGCACTCAAGAGTTGCCAGAGTGAGTGAGTGAGTGAGTGAGTCAGTGAGCGCCACCAAGGAAGACCACTGACCTGGCCTTAGCCTCACAGTGTGTTATCTTCCTGGCAGAAACCATCTACTCTCTGCTCCATCCTGCTCCGGGAACGCAGCCGAATAGACGGCTAAGAGCCTCATAAAGTCTACATATAAGCTTGGATGTTGTTGTACGGGGAAAGAGTATCCTGTTAGGAACTACTTAAAATTAAGCAAAGAAGCAATCAAAAAGACTGTTAAGAATCGCTGTTTAGAATAGACAGAAACTTGTGTTAGATAAAGTAAAGATAGGAGGACTCTGCCTGAAAAATTAACTGCCGTGGATTTTCTGGACTTGCTAAATGTCTACATGCGGGTGCTTATCCTGACACAACTGTCATATATTTATGGGGCTTCTGTGAAATCGTTGGTCCTGCATGGAGGAAAGTTGTAACCTATTAAATTATTGCACATAGTAAACTTTAAAAAAATTAATAAAAAATAAAAATAATAAATAAATAAAGAGAGAGATTAAAAGATGATTAAAAAAAATCCTAGCGTCCAAACATAATTTAACGCAGTTTAAAACAGCTGATGGAGAGAAGCTGAAACCATTCCAAAGACTTTATCCGTTAGAAATCTGCAGTTCGGAAAAGTTACCATTCATTGCCCAAGATTCTCGAAGGGATGAAAGTGTCTCTACGAATATGCCTCTACGCCCTGCAGCTAATGCTTCAGATTAAAGTGAAGATGATGATTCATCACCCAAAATCCCAGATTTTGTTACTAGAGCTGGTCGACGTGTTAAAATTCACAATAGACTTGATTTATAACTTTTGTTGCAATTTATAGGTATCCTACAAATTGCAAGGTGGGAGGTTGTTTGAGTAATACCAGCTACAACTCAACTCTGTTTAAGTTTCATGTTTTAAAAATAAGCTCTATCGTTTTGGTAAGAATAACTGCTTCTAAATTTTTTTTAAATATCTGCAATTAAAGTGTTTTTTCATATTAAATCCATAGTTATTTTCGAATCCTTTAAAACTCCCTAAAGTTATGTACAGAGAGAAACTTAAAAGAAAAATTACATCTCCACCGAAAGACCTGAATGAAGCGGTATACTGACTAAAAGATGAAAAAATCAACTCAATCTTAACTTCAATCATTTCATTCATCGGAAAAATAAAAACAGCGAAGACTGCAGCAAAAAAATTGCAAACGGCTTTAAAGCAGCAATGTTACTTATCCAATTCGCCGAAGCAGATACTAGTGATCTTTAGCAGCGAAACACGATAAACCAGTAGCTCAGTGGATAGAGCGAAGCAGAGAACTTTTTGGACTCTTAGATCGTGGATTCGGGCCTCGGCTCACAAATTATTTATACCTTTTTTTTTTTTTTTTTTTTCAGGGCAGCAGTAGTCTTATTGCTATTACATCTTGGCATCTTTATCCGGAGTAACTGTATATGCGAAGACTTCCTATGCAATACCGAGAACTTTTTTAATTCTCACTTAGACATCCCCTTAAATTATGCCAGGGAAAGTTATGTGTCTACTACGCGTTACACACAGGATGAGGCTTTCGCCCAGGCGCATGTTTTCTGTGACTTACCACCTGAGTCTTCAAGCAATCGATATCATTCCGGAACGATAATTTGCATGTAATTAAATGTACATTGCGAGGGGGGAAAGGGCAGTTCTATATATCTCCCGTTCAACTGGGCCGATTGATGAAACTCAGATTTCGTTTTTCATGTCTCGAAAGCGCGTCTTAAGATATATATTAGATTTATATATAGCGTTGCTCTAATATAGGTATTTTGACACATTAATCGGACTTTCTCTGAAATGACATGCTAAATTTTTTTTTCATATTTCGATTCTTAGACACAAATTATGCCTAAATATTACATTTTGTAAAATTTAGGGCGAAATATATGGAGAAATTCAAAAATTTATCTTGGCGCATTTTTTCCAGTTTGCGCCAAGAATAATTCACTTGGTGAAATTCTTAATTTATACTAGCCTACTTACTTCTTTTTTTTCATTGATGCATGAGCGGAAATAAGGTCCATCGTTCATTAGTTCAAATAATCTTTAAAGTGCGTAAAACACATTTTCGCTATTCTCGCTTATAATAAAGAGACCAAATTTCAAAACGCGCCAGAATGTAAATTCACGTATGTCTTAGGAAAGTTTGAATAAAAAATCTCTAATTTTTTGCAGGTAGGCTTCGAAATATCTACTTTAAGATGATGGTAAAAATTTTATAGATTATAATTAAAATTTTGTTTCGAAAAATTTCATAAAAAGGGGCGAATTTGTTTTGGAATAAACTTAATTTTGAAATGTGAAAGGAAGAATCAAACAAATTTAATTAAAAAAAGATATAATAAATATATATCAAATTCAATAAACATCGAGGAGCTAATATTTTGAGAGCTAATTTTTTTAAAAACTACTTTTGCGACTCTTACAAAAGATAGCAGTTTGGCATAATTTGAGTGATATCTAAATCTGGAAAAAAAATTGACATGTCATTTCAGAAAATGTCCGATTTTGTGTCAAAATACGTTATATATAATCGTAGAAGAACGTTATATATAAATCTAATACATATCCTAAGTTGCGTTTTTTAGAGATGAAAAACCCAAGTTGAGTTCCGTCAATCGGCCGAGTAAGAACGGGAGATATAGAACTGTCCATTTTGTTTCCCGCAGTGTACATGAGAAACAAAGTAAAAAATTTTATAATCAACTAATAGGTTGTCATAAATTCTGTAGTCGACTAGTTATATACTGTAAGGAAGATAAGCCTAAATTAAATGATATTTTAAATGGTTAAATTACATAGCACTGGATAACGTGTTTTTAAAATATTGAAGATAAATGAAAGACCATAACCGTCGTCGGAAGACAAAAACGTCGGTTTATCAGCAGGCATGATTTTATCGCAAAACTAAACGCAATAAACATCTAGAATAGACTTTTGTTCGAGGTGCTTAAATAAAAGGCGTTAAAATCCAATTTTTATATGATATAAGTAATAATACCAATTAGGAAACCATTCATTCTGCTTTCGAATAGTAAGTCATAAGCAAACATGCTAATTAATAAAACAAATTCTGCTTTACTTAATTAATAAAACGTTTCTCTTTATGTTAAATTGAGGAGATACTATTTACGAATAAATTTACAAACTTAGGCCATTTTTCTGAGCAAATTACTTAATTAGAAAATCCACATTAGAGAACAAATTCAGTTATGAGTATGTTCCGTGGTTACAGCCGAAAACATCGCGGCAAAAACATCGCAGACGAAAATGTCGCGGAGAAAACAACGCAAGGCGAAAACGTCGTGCTACAAAACATCGTGGGAGAAAACATCGCAGTTCGAAAACATCGCGGTACAAAACATCGTCGTCGAAAATAAAGCGGTTCAAAAACATCGCAGTTTAAAAACATCGTCGTTGAAAATATTGTGGTAAAAAATAAAGTATCTACAAATCATCGCATGACGATAACATCGCAGACATGCTTTAATAAGTGTAAATGGATATTCCCATAATGATTTGTGAGCGCAAGATGGAAAGAAGGATAATTTTTACTTTCATATTTTTTATAATAAATTTTTTGCTAATAATAAATTTTTGCTGAAAAAATAAAAAGGAAACTTAAGCATAAAAAATTAATGCAACTTATAGCACTTAATAGAATTTTAAACCGACATAGTTAACTAACAAAGGCCATTAATAAATTATTTTTATAAAGTTTTTACTGGTAATATTTCATGAAAAGTATAATCTATAAGTTACATTTAATTTTCTATGCTTAAGTTTCCTTCTTACTTTTTCAGCAAAAATTTATTAGTTAATAAAATATGTGAAAGTAAAATTTATCCTTCTTTACACCTTGCGCTCACAAATCATTATGGGAATATCCATTTACACTTATTAAAACCTGAAAAAAGCATGTCTGCGATGTTATCGTCATGCATGATTTGATGATTTGTAGATAATTTTTTTTTTTACCACGATATTTTCGACGACGATGTTTTTAAACTGCGATGTTTTTTGAACCGCTTTTTATTTTGACGACGATGTTTTGTACCACGATGTTTTAGAACTGCGATGTTTTCTCTCACGATGTTTTGTAGCACGACGTTTTCACCTTGCGTTGTTTTCTCCGCGACGTTTTCGTCCACGATGTTTTTGCCGCGATGTTATCAGCGGACACCTGTTCCGTCCCGTCCCATTGTAACATTCATCTCACTAGAGGGCGCTGCAACGCCCCCCAAACCAGCAGAACCTCTGTAGACCGCGAGCAGAGCGGTTGATCCTTTGGGGTCCTACGCCATCTTTTGCATGTTGTTCTGGTTTCAGATTTGTTTCCTGTACAGCTCAGCACACAGGATGATACGCATTTATTATAGATTTGATGTCAAGGAAATTTCGGTGGAAACCGCGACAGTTTCAGGAGACGAGGGTGGCCATTATGATTGATGTTTGTTCTTTCTGTGTTTTTTTTTTTAGTTTTACGCGGAAGCAGATGTTCGGGAACTTCCAGACCGTCTTCCACTTCCATACTGTCCGAATCTGCGGATTCAGGAATAGTTTCATTTACAGAACTATTGCTGGGACTTCTATTCTGTTAATTGGTTTAGGAGGGACATGTTTTGGTTTGCTTTGAATAGCTATTTCTTTATTTTGTACGATGTGTGTTGTATTTTCTTTTTTCTTGTTTGCAGGTTGCTGGGTTTTATTTGGTGGAGTCTGTGTACTTATGGAAGTTTGGGTGGCTATAGTGCGTGTTGATTTAACGGCACTGGCATATGATTTGTTTGATTGAGGCTGTGTGCTTTGAACTTGTCTCCTGGCTTCGACATATGAAATGTTCCTAGAAAGTTTTATGGTCTGAGCTTCCTTTTCAAATTTCCATTTTGGACAGGAACGGGAAAATGCTGGATGGTCGCCCTTGCAATTAATACACAGTGCTGCAGCAGTGCAATTATCGCTATTGTGGCCAACCGACGAACACCGAGCGCACGTCAGGTCCCACGACAGGACATCTTCGAATGGCCAAAACGTAATCGAATGGCCACTGGAAGCATCGCATTGGGTTTGGAATATAAGGTCTTACGGGGCAATTTAGATATCCAGCCTTAATATTCTTCGGCAGATCAGGCGAACTGAAGGTCAGGATCACGTGTTTGGTGTCAATCAACTGACTCTTCCTTACACGCATCTTGATCCACTTGGCAGCACAAACCTTTTGATCAGCTAACTCGGAGAACGAAACTCTTCTTCTAAAACACACAGAAGGTCGATTTCCGAGATCACGCCTTTACATAAATTAAGTGTTTTGTGCGCTGACGCAGTGTTTTGATAGCACTGACCTGTCCAAGTTTGGTTTGTCATAAAAGTGAAGCAGACTGGGTGGCCAAAAAGGTATTCAATAAGCAGGTTCTCACCAGAACGGAGACGCCTTTATGTTACCTTGGCTCACCTATGCATGAAATGAATGTATTTGTTTATCATTAAAGGAGACATGTTTTCTAAATTCTTCAGAGGCACTGGTAACAACAACAAAAGCGAGGACATTCAGTAGTTACTTTGGCATTTGCATCGGTACGTACGTTTTCTTGCAGCACGGATTTGTCATGAATTGGTCAATGTCTTGATTGACGTGTCATTTGACTTCAAGGTTTTTTTTAAAATGTAAAGAGAATTAGCCATGATTTGAAATAAATATTGATTCGGGTCCGACGGCCCCGCCCACCACGGAGCCCAACAAGGGAACAGATTCCTGTGTTAGGGCTAGCCGGACCTATATGCAAACTGAAGCCCCACAGTCGGCTTTCCCGAAAGCATGTACTCCCAAGAGCTTGACCCCGAACCACTGACACAAGGACTAGGGACCAGCCGATTGACACCCGTGAGGACGACTAAGGTGCCTGCCGTTTAGCTGAAGCAGAGGCCAAAGCAGTGTGTTCGGGACAGTACCTCGCCCCTAAACTACCAGGACCCTCCTTTCCAGCGACATGGGTCTCCATGCACGGCAAACACGTGGGCAGTTTTCTCGCTAGTTGAAAACTAGAGACAAGGGCTGTTCCAGTTTCTCGTGATGATCCCCAAACTCCGAAGAGAGAAACCACAAGGGAGAAGCGAAGGGAAAACGTTCAGCTAAGAGGAGAGGAGACGGAAAAGAGGATAGATCACTGGGGCTCCAGGATCGTGACACCCGTCTCACCAAGAAGATGATCCCCTGAAGGGCTAGCGTACCTCGGCATTGCCACACCCGTACTCACAAAAGTGAGCCCCCTGAGGGCAATTTTAAGTTGGATATCGATATTAAATTATTAGGGTGTGATTATTTGAATATGGCAGAACACACTGGCTACCTGCCTAAGGAAAAGGGTACTCTTGTGAAGGACTTCGGATACTAGCTTGCGTTCTCGTTACGTACGGGGAAATAAAGGAAATCAGTTATGCAGCCGTCCGGTTCGCCTGGCTTCGAACTCACATCGAACTACCAGTATTCAGCGGTCTTAACCCTTTGTTGCATACAAATAATCTAGAGAAGTTAAACGAAAATGTTTGTATTTTTCCCACTTACAATAACCTTAGCAATAATTAAAAAATAATAATTTTATTCAAATTTTGTTTTAAATAATTGCTACAGTTTGTTCACTACAGTGAACAGCATGCATATACTTACATGCATTCAAAACTCTTCCCAAGGATTGACGGTCATTACATTTGAAATCATTTCCTGCCTTGTTTGCAGTGATCATTACCATCTTCTAAATGGTAAATCTACAAGTGGACATGTACTTACAGATCCCCCAAAATACCATTCATTTCGTCGATTGCGACTGAATTCATTGTTGCTACTATTTTGTAACCTCTACCTATTGGAATTCAAATGTCAAATGTTCAAGAAATTCCTTGCCAAACATAAACATTTCCAGTGGTGTTTTGGCTTGATAAGCAGTACATTTGGGTTTCAATTCACTCTTTTCGGTAGATCTTTATCTACCAATTCCACAATTTCTCAAACAGACATTTAAAATAAAATGTCTAAAATTACTAATTATGAATAAAATTGGCAGTATAAGAAAATGTAAGCAATATTATATAATGCTTACTATGAGAAATTGTACTAACTTGGAAACAGAAGTAGCAGCCATTTTCCAAATGCTTTACTTAGTGATGCTATACGGCCATCTATGATCGACAATTGAAAGTTTTAATAATATAGAATGAATAAACACAGGAATGGAGTCTGTTAAGGCATTTACAGAATAAACAAATTTAAACTTTTGCCTACTAGAGTGGACATGATGAAACAACGGGTTAACCTCTCGATAATTCTTTAATAGTTCCAATAAAGTAATTTTATTAATGCATATAAGGATTAAATAAATAAAAATTTCTCGTTTTAATTACTTAAAATATATTCTCAGTTTTGCGATCAAATTAATAATAAATCATTTGAAAACATATATAAGCTGAATCCCAAATTTAAGTACAAAAATCTGCTAAAACGTTTGGATTTACATACGAATATATGCAGTAATTAAAACTGCGACTATAAAAGAACAATGTAGAAAATCGGTTGTTGTTGAGCAGAGCTATTTAAGATTTTAATTAATTGGTTAAAAGTTAATTTATAATTAATCTCATTTTTTACAGAACTCATTCCCTACAGTGTTCTTTAATGAACGGGACGGGAGTTCTAATTATCGATAGGTAACAGAGCTCTTCCTCCCACAACATTGAGACCCTAGCAAATTCCTGTATATTATAGAAACTTTTTGATTGGAAGTACAAGTCTAGGATCATTATTTAATTAAATAGCGTATCCCTTCTTTTTTACTAATTTTATCATACTAAAATCGGGGAGAAGTTTTACGAATAATTTAATTTCCAAATGACGCAGTAAAACGTAAAATTAAGAAGCATTCATGGATTAAACTACCAGTAACTATGACAATATTATTTATTTAAAAGAAACCTACACACCAGTATTAAATTATATTAACATTCTAATACCGAATAAGATAGCTTCATTTATACTTTCCTGTATCTCGAATCGCGCGCGCTCTTATTGTTGTCCACGGCTACTCCACAGGTCTTGAATAATTCAGTGCTGCTGGAACTGTGTCGTTTGCTACAACCTGCAAGTTGCAGTCATCTCTGTTATCATCGTTTTCGTTAGCAATTAGTCTGTCTTCCTTCGAGCAGAAGCTCTTCTCTATAATTGCTTCATCGGTCACAGCCAAGCAAATCCACTAGCAAATCAGTTAACACCAAACCTTGCTATAATGCTAGGGAGAAAAATGCGCGAGTCAATGCGGTAAAATTCATAACCTGCTTTTTTCACCCCAAGCAAGTTATATGTATCTCAATGCTTGCATCAATTTCTTCCAGTTTATTACTGGGTTTGATTGATGCAATGAAAGTTAAATTTTATACATGTTACTCTTAGCTTGCTCTAAACCATGAGTTCTCAACGGCGGCGGTACCTGCCCCCTGAGGGGTGGTGAGGGGATGCTGAGAGGTGGTGATCTTGCTTTGGTTGGTAGGAGGCGGTGGCGGTAGGGGGCGATGAGCATGTTTTTTCATTCGAACTTAATTTTAAAACTCCAACAAATTTATTAAATCGATTATCCGATTCACATCATATCTACCAGCAATGAAACGAACTTAGACGAATGCTCCTAAGAATGGTGAGGCGAATTTATATTTTAGGTAGGATGATCTTGAAGAACTCTACATTACGGTTTTTCTGGGATCCCAACCAGCACAGCGCATGCGTTGAGCGTCTTCTCAGTATGAATGTTGGGATCTGACACGTGTTTCTTGTGTTGCTTTTCATTCGCTCCATTTCTTTTTTTCCCTCAGTTTCGATTTTCTTTCATTGTTTATTTAGATTGTCGCCTAGGTAATTGCGCTTCTTTATCGTGATCGTGAATTATTAATTTTGAGAAATTGTTATCTTTCCCTCATCACATTTTGCTGTCATTAACGATGTCGTTTCATAAAAGGAAATGTTGTCAATACAGTTTCACGTACTTGAAGTTTGGATTCGTTCCTTCGCCGTCGAACTTGCAACTACCCATGTGTATACTGTGCAACAAAGTATCATCTAATGAGGCAATGAAACCACCTCGTTTGCAGGAGCATCTGCAAAAAATTCATCCTGACAAACAAAATAAAGATTTGTTGTTTTTCACGAACATCAGGGACAAATTCCTGAACGCACCGTCTGTCTCAGGCTTACTAGTAGCATCATCAAAACACTGTGATAATGGTTTGATAGCCTCTTATAATATATCAAAATTAATTGCTAAATCGGGGAAAGCTCATACCATCGGCGAAGAGGTGATACTGCCGGCTGTCAAGGAAGTTTTAGAAACAGTTTTACACCCTCAAGCCGCATTCATTATTATAAAATATGTCCTATTAAGCAATGATACAGTGCGACGACGAACTGATGAGATGGCTGAAGATGTTGAAACTTCCTTATGCAAACATTTAACTCACCGAATTTTCCCTAACTTAATTAATCAATTAACTAAATTTTTTGGTGAAGCAACCTTACCAAGTAC